ACGACCTAATCGGAGAAGTTCTAAGAAAATTATAACCTCGATCCGTTTGAAATGATGGTTTCACCACCACGATACTATACTACTACGTGATCATTCTTTGATAATGTTCATTGTAAATCCTACATAACGAAATTGGTTACTAACGGAAGGTAATGAAGGAGGCGGAGAGCGCAATATTTCGAACTTTATTCTTACACCAAACAGTGTTGAAACGAATCAAATCATAAATCTCCCCTCATTTTGTCAGTCAACGAACGTGTGTCGTCATTACCTTCGACGGCACCTCTGGAGATTTTACCCTATTTATCTCGCGCAGTTTTCTGTCCAGGTAGATCCTGTACTTTCATGGATAAATACGATTGAAGTTTATCAACCCGATCTGGTAACCATATGAACCGATCATCGAATGATTCAATGAAAAAAAAGGCAGATCAACCAAAGTTCGAGTTTAATCAGTGCCTAAACACTACGTTCCTGATAGCAGAGTATATCTGTTATCGATTCTCTTCCTATGTCTTCCTATTAAAGTAGAAGCATAAATATCACCTTCAGTCAAGTCTTATATACCTGATATTTCCAAGGTTGGAGTTAAATAACAAGTGACACCTGTTTTGACGTATTCATTAAATCAGTTACTAAGATATATTTTTTTAAAGAGTTAGACGTAAATACCATTTTTAATGCCAGGGGTATAATGATTTTAGTTATTTTCTCTTATTTTTTTGAGTGAGAGTTTAAATTTGTGTTATTTGAGACTATCCTTGTATGATCGTAGCGATGAAATTTAGCATGCTGGAATAATCTACCTGTAATGTTAATTCAACGGACCATGAGTTAACAAGCTCTACCGCCTCTAGCATTCATTAAAAGTCAATATCCAGGATCAAACTGTGGCGTCAGTTGCTAGTGCAAAACTCATTATCCGTCATTGTATTCTGAATTTCGTATAAATATATCGGCAGCTTTGTATGGTTAATTGTAGATTAAACTTTTTCTCAAATTCTGATCGTGTTTTGTTTGAAGTCGGAAAAATTATTTACTTCCAGGGTAGATTTGGGTAAAACTTATACATTACATTGGAGAGATTATGTATGTACTATTTATTTTGAACATGTTTTTAAATGAAAGGTAAGTAATGGCTCCTGTAAGTGACTTATTTTTTTTGTATAAATTCAGAGAGATTGTCCTAAGAAATCTCATTATTTCAATTTTAGTGGATTTTGTACCTTTTTACAGATATATATTTTTTTTTTCTGGTTTATTCGCAATCCACCATAAGAGTACGAAAGCTCATTTCAAAGTTGATCCTATTTTATCGTTAAAAACATTCAAAGATCTCACTAAAAGCCTTTTAAATGGCCGCATTTCAATATAATTTTATCACTTAAATCGTTGTTTGTTTTTCTACGTCATGCAATGGTTTAAATTTAGAACACTCGTGATAAAATAAAGTGTTTTACTTCCAGACGGCCGTGAAGTGCGAATCTTTAATGCGTCATTTGAGGAAAATTCTACAAAGTTAAACTACGCGACCTTATTTGACAAAGTGCGAGCATTTGTCCAACACGATGAAACAGTCGGAAAAGAGCATCTTAACCACTCATCACGTATCACACAAAGCGTGCCATGTGTATCACGTAACACGAATCACGCTTTAATGTTTATGATCTTCCCACTTCTCACTCGCGCGCGATTTCGAAACTCGTAAAACGTGACGAGGAAGGATGAACGGTCCTGAGATCGGAATGTTCTGGGGTTTTTCGCGGCTATCTTTAAAATCTCAATCACATTAAGCTGCGCTTGAAGAAATACATAATAAGCAACAAGTTTCTATATATCATACTAGGCGTGCAGTTGGATTCACGGTTAGCTTGTGGCGAAGATCAAGTTGAGAAACGAATATGCAAATTTAAGGTAAGCCCATATTAGTAACATTGAAGCGACATCATTATTGTCTTCATGGTGAAATTCAGATAATCGTTGTTGGGTGTACAAATATAAGTACTTTAAAAAACGTTCGAAAGAAAATTTGATTGCTTTTTCCCTGCTACGGCTATCCATAATTCGTAACATTTTTTTGTTTTGCTAAATTCGCTTAATTTCAGAGAGCTTCCTGATTAAAGGTAATTTTTAGCTAGGGATAATGAACGAGCGAGTAAGTGTTGCGTGTCATTCAATGGTTATACCACAAATGCATCGAGATGCAACTATTTTTAAAATTGCCTTTCCTGGATGATCAGTCAACCGAGCGCGATTCCAGTCGCGAACTATCATCATTTTTGCCAGAGCCACATATTCTACTGCCTTGTATCCTCCACGTTTTAGAACACTTACCACAGATCACACGCTATTCATAATGGCACGACAATAATTAAGACCAAGACTGAATGTCTTTTACACGTCATGGATACGCGAAAGTGGAGAAACGTTTCAAAGCTTGAAGCATGGTTTGTTTTAAATTTCTCAATCGAGTGATTTCCATAAAGCAGAGAAAGTGAATTATATACGTTCTTGTAAAAAAAAATCATAATTTGTGATTCTGTGAGTGAGAAACAGAACTTGAACTTCATCACTAAGAGGGGGGAAGAGAAGAGATCTCGTAGAATGAATTGGAAAAAAGGTGTAAAGAGAACGAGAAAAATCATTGAACGCCGGAAGGGAACAAGTTATACCTGTAATAGGCTGTAGGGCACGTTGGTGCCGTAACGAAAAATGAATGATAAGCGGATGTCAATTATATATTTCAGATGTAATTTGCAATAACCTTTAAATGTAATTTTTCTATTTTTCGCAATACATCTCACAAATCCTTAAGTCTTTCTCAAACATTAATTGTGTTTCTAACGACATCTGGCCCAAACAGTCCCTTCACCCTTAAACGGTTCCGTAAGGGACTGTTGGATCATGTCAAGGTCACCATTAACGGCAACAAGGCGTAGGCTGTCAGGCATCACGTCGTAGCTTTGGCACGAGTGTAATGTTTGCTTTGAACTTCAGCCAAAATTTAACAATTTTTCTTTCCGGAGGGTGGATATTACATAGCTTAACTAATTCAGCTATAATACGAGCCAACTCTTATTTTCATACGAGCAATACCTAAACAAAGAAAAATGGCTTGATTGGAGAAAAGATGCCATAAGATGGAAAGGAATATCCACTGTCACTGCATGACGCATTTAGAAATTTTTCCACTCCACGAAGTTTAGGGCGGTCCCCTCAAATTCGCGTAATTAGTACTTAGAATCAATAATATGTCCGTAGTGAAGCAGAGCAACCAGTGGCTACTCAAGCAGTAGTAGTGCCCATAGATTTGAGACTTACGTTATTTCCTGAGAGTTGTTCCTTGAGCTTGCGACTTTTTGTTCAACGGATCGATTGAGCTATATCTAGGCCCAAGTCAGTTTCGCTACATTTGCTCTTCTGTCAGGGTAAGTTACACCGCATTGCGATAACTTATTTTATACTGCCAGGTTGTTTTGAGAACTTCATACCTACGGATGACATACAGTACGTTATTTGTCATCCTCGCAAATTGATGGTCAGATTTTTTCTTCATCAAGCCGGTGAAGACGATTGCTCAGATCTCTCCTAAAGCAGCCACCCGTGTGAAATAAAAGATGATTAGATAAATTTTCGGAATATATTTTCGCAACTCTTTCGCATTTGAAAAAGAAAATGGCTATTGCAGATCAATAATCTTTAATTAAAATAGAAAACGTATCAGTATAACATCACATGAAAGGAGGTTACAGTATGATCTGAATTTCGCCCTAACCCTTAGTGTTCGGTTTACAAAATTTTGTTCTCTGACAAAGTTGCGCCGAGTTGAACTCATCGGCTTGAATCTTAATTATCAGGTACTGGCGCGTAATGTCAGTAATTGAATATTTGATAGGTAACATTTTCTGTAATGAAAGTTGAGTTCCGTAGAGGTGACATTTTCTAGTAATTTTTTACAACGAGCATAACAAAGATGAAGTGAGAAATGAAGACTGTGATATGATCTTCGTCTTTTCCTACAGTCTTTTACCAAACAGTGAAGAATAAAACTGTATGCATGCAAGCTTTGGTTCACGCACCATACGGCTTTGTCTTATCGTAGTATTCGAGCTTGTCGCCCTTTCTCTTTGCCAAAGGATGAAGTTTCTTTTGGCACAAGGAAAGGAACTATCGAGGGCTAGCGCAAAATTTTATGAGGCAACCGTGGGAAACCAATTGAACAATGCACCTTCTTTCCCCGAAATTTTATTTTAAAAAGTCTGCTGGGGCTAACTGGTGGCCGTGCGAGAATTACGACGACATTCACAGCAAATATCAATGAATTTCAATGTATAAAAATCCGGAAATAAGGCCTGAAAAAATTTTTTTTTCAGGCCTTATTTCCACCACCACATAAGTCGGGTATATTTGTGCGAGGATCGCTTTCATACATTTCACAGCAAATATGTTTTCCGGAAAGGAGGAGGCAACGGGCGAAATGAACTATGACTATTTGTTTTGAAATACAAATCTTTTAGGCTCTCCTGTGCCTCTCATTTTTTCTTTTGCCTGACCTCTGCAGTTATTTTGCGCACGCACTCTTTTGCTTACGGTACTTCTACCATCGAGCGCCTAGGAACGGGTTAGAAACAGAAAATCCTGAGTTTTATTCAAACTCAGGCCTCATACGGAGCGCTCGAGTAAATAAGTCACTCTTTCTTTTTTAAGAGGGTAATTATGCACCCTCCCTTCGGCTTCGCCTTTGTTTGGATCGATCACTCTTGATTGAAACCCACCGGGTAAACTTTGCGGTTTGACAGATGGGCAGTCATGAACATCCAAACCGTCATAGATATTCTAACGTCCACGTACTTGTGTGTTCCTGAATGAACGAACTTCAGTCTTTACTACTAAAAACAGATTTTGAAAACTGTTCATAATTATTTCCTAGGTTTTGCAGGTCATCATTATTAGCTGTGCTTGTTTGACCGGGAAAAGTCAGTATAGGGCAAAAACAACAACATCTATGGTGATTGCGCTAACAAAGAGGGAGATTCGTGACAAACAAAAGCTGACATACATCAAAGGCTTCGTCTGCGAAACACAAAGGCCAAACGCACATCAAAGGCTTTTTGAATACTGTGAGACAACATATGTTTTGTAAGGAAAAAAAGAAAACTTCCCACTTAAATTTTTTACGTAAACCGTCTGAGTTGAAGTAATTAGTGAGCAAAAGAAACGAGATGGCGTCGTTACACCCTGCGAACGTAAATATTCCCAGAGATGAGAGTATGTCAAACATCACAAAGACCATGAACACGGAGCCGACGAGGGAACTTTTGACAGTGATTCAAATAACCTGTTATTCCATAATTATCGTAATCGGAACGATAGGAAACTTGATGTTGATATTCGATTTGGTTACCAAACATCACCTCAAAACCAGCCAGTATTTTATTTTGAATCTGGCAATAGTGGATCTTTTGACTTGTACACTGAGTATACCTTTCGACATCAGCCTGCTCGTGGTGGGTGATTGGCCATTTGGTCCGGTAATGTGCAGGGTCGTTTATCCTCTTCAAACAATTCTCATGGCCGTTTCTGTGTTTACATTGTTGTGTATGGCGGTGGAACGTTACCGCGCTATTCTACACCCACTAAAGCCTAAGATACACGGGAGAGTTATAATATTGGTGATTCTACTTAACTGGGCTATAGCTACGGGATTGGTGTCACCATATGCTGCCGCGCTTATGATGAAGAACGGTCGCTGTGCTGAAAACTGGCCTAACAACGATCCAAGATACCCCAAAGCCTTTTCTTTATGTGTGTTCCTCATATTGTACTTGAGCCCATTGTGCATCATTACAGCTGCATACGCTTGCGTAGGGATAAGACTTCGTGCTAACAGTCATAAAACGGAATTACTTGTTGGAACTATTGACTGCAAGAGCCGCTTGGCCAAGTCTCGAACGCAAAGAAATATCAGGATTGTAAAATTCTTTGTTTTAGCCGTGGCGGCTTTTGCTCTTTGTCTGCTGCCTTTTCAGGTCATGTGGATGTGGAGTGACTTTGGAAACGGCCAAGACTGGTCACATTTCAATGAAGTCCTCACGTTCGCTAACGTTATGGTTTACGCAAACAGCGCGGTAAATCCCTACATATTTGGTGCTCTGGGTCGCAGGTACAACTCCTGCAACTGTCTTCGACGGAAAATTCCCAAAGAACGTTATTTTGCACGTAATACATTTCCGTTTCATGGATTCGTCGCCAAAAGACGTTCCGCTGCAGGAAACAAAAAGTTATTAAAGTCGCCTGAGATAAATAGTATAAAACGAAACAGTCCAAACCCTGAAGAAAACCGAAGTAGAGAAAAAAACAATCCTACTAGAACCTTATTCGAATCGTCAGTTTAGGATCAATAATTCATGGTTTGGCCAACAAACCGTTGTTTCGATCCTGCAGAGACTCATCAGAGACCCTTAGCTTACTATTTAAGTATCGCGTCACTATATGTATCCTATAAAAAGGTTCGCTGAGTATGTTTACGAGTTCTGCCGTATCATGACAAGCCTGCAGGGCGAGTCAAAATACAACAAAAAAGAGTAAAAATAATCAGCGATACCACACTCCAAAAAGTCTAATAAGTTAATTATTATCCATCTGCTTTACTTTATGCGCATTTCTCATACGGCGGGAAAGGCGAAGCAGATAAAAAAGAGGCGTGGCACGCGCAGCCGATTGGCTAAACAAGCTTTTAACACTATGAAATAACCAACGATCCAAATCGTAGGTGATAATTTCATTGTCGATTCGCGCGTTATTTGTACTCTTTTTGGGTTAGTGCAAGACAAATGGATGATGAAAGGCCAGATTGTTACAACGTTTTTTCTCCTGGCGAGACTTCAAACGCCGTATTTGACGACATAACCGAAAGTCGCCGATAAAAATCTTCGCGGGAGAGAAATTTGTCAATTGGACAGTACCCGCGTTCAAATGTAAACACAGCACTGTCTATAGATGTGAAATGAAGATCGGTGTACGAGGTATAATATCTTCTTCACATTCCCCAACTGAAATATTACAAAAAGAACCTGTCGTTCCCCCTTTGTGTTTGGAGTACATTTCGACTGAGTATCGAAATATTTAAACGAGACTAATCACAGCAGCAAATCAGAGCGAATAAAAATATCACAAAGAGCCAATCAGAATTTAAATAAAAAACAGGCAAACTGACTGAAGCTGTATCTGAATGGTAGAGAAAGAGTCACAAGTTTCTGGACCATCTAAAAAACGAAGTAAGAAGAGCAAACCAGAGCAGTCTCGAAATACTTTCGACACTCAATTGATAATTGCTCCATACCATCTACGATGATACTGCCTGTGGCCAGTACGCACTAGTTGAATGTGCAATCAATAAAAACAGCTCCAAAGAGCTGGAACTGATATCTGAGAATTTATTAGTTTGAAGTATTTGTTAAAGAAATAAACGACCAATAAACTAATCTATTTAAAATCACTCGGCCAAACGAGTCTATGAAATAAAACGAAGCGTAGGAAAAAAACCATTCCGCTCTCTCTATTGAACTTACAACGACAGATACGCTCAAAAGCTCCAAGGGCCGTAAACGGAAAGACTACGGTGCGGGTTAACGGTCGTTTCGTACCCAGCCAGGTCGATTCGTACCCATTCAGTTGTTTCGTACCCATACTATTAAAGTATGTTTTCCATGTTAAATATGTTAAGGTAAATATAGAATAAATGAATTTATTATCCAACTACACTTCGTAGACTACAACTAACGGCATAGACGAGTACAAATATCACGCGGTATTTGTACTGTAGAGTACCGGTTAAACAGGTTTTCTCGCACCGCGCAAGCGAAGAATTGGATTGAAGTTAAAAAAAAATGTCGGTCAATTTGAATTATATTTCTGACCACGAAGAGTCGGAATGGCTGGCATACATAGATCCAAGTTCATCAGATGAATCGAACGAAGAAAAACAGCTAGACGACCAGGAAATTTCTTCATTTATTGAAGAAAATAAAAACAGAAACACGACAACTCGCCATTTCCCTTCCGCTTCGCATACTTCTGTCACGCACTCCCCGGAAATAAATATCCGCGAAATTCGCCTGCACTGAAATAACAGTTTGGCGTGTCGGATAATAAATATCTTATTAGACGTTTTGTTGTGTAGTATCGCTGAGTATTTTTACTCGTTATTTGTATTTTGACTCGCCCTTCGGGCTCGTCACAACTCGTAAAAATACGGCACAACTCGTAAAAATACTCAGCGGTACTACATAACAAAACGTCTAATAAGATATATTTATTAGCATAAATAGCGAATGGAGAAAAAAAAATCGCAGTTACACTAACTGTTCTTGTTAAGAAAGTCGCAAGTATAAACAACTGACTGTTCCATTGAAAATATTACACTTACTTCCACTGGGTAATAACTCAGTTGTTTTTGTTAAGAAGGTCACAAGTACACACAACAGAATTTTGCTTGTATCTTACTCATTTGACTCTACTAACTTGTCGCGCGCAACAATTGACATCTCCTCACGCACTCGCGCGTGAGGTATTTCGCATGAATGTGTTTTGGGATGGGTGCGAATCGAGCAGCGGTTTAAGTACAAAACTACTGGATACAACGGTGCGTCACTAGTGAGGATACAACGTAACATCAAGATGATTTTGATTCAAATAGCAGAAGAGAAAATGGTCCGATGTCCTCTTGTTGACGATAAAAATGGCTCGAAGTTCCTAATGGTTCGATCTCAAAGCATATTTTCTTTAGCAGCTTGCGTCGCACCTTTCTCCGCCAAACAGGAGAGGCGTAAGCTGAGCAGGAGGTTACTTCACTTTCCCTTCATCCTAATGCTTCGAGCTCCTTGCGATTCCTGATTGGCTAGAAGGAACCCAAAAAGCCCGCCACCATAACGTAAGCTTAACACTTTCCAGCAAATGATAACATAAATCAGCAAACCAATTAAATGCTAAGCGTTTAAAGCCTTGAGGTTAAAATGCTCGGCTTAAAGTTATTGGTTACAACAGCACTTGGGATTGACTCAAACATTTGCAGATTTATGACGATTTGTGTTTGTCCTTTCTAATATTTTTGACGATTTGTTATATCCCTTCACTGCCATTTCTCTACCAACGTGAAGAGGCGTCGAGCCAACCCGAAGCTCATAAACACATTCGAGTTGGCAACGTTTACCCGAATGTTTCCGACAGCAGCAAAAAAGGCGTGCCAATGAAAACTTTCTCAAACAACCAAAAATGAATGGATTAGACGCGCTATTAGCGTACATAAGAATATTGCTGAATATGAGCACATCTTGGAAATACTTGCTGTCCCAGCCGCGCCCAAAATCGTGCCAAATCCACGAGGCGTGTGTCGGCAGCATGCACACTAAGAATGCGCTCACCGCTATTATGAACACTTTAGTGATCCTCATTTTCTGTAGAGTGCGTTTCTTTGTGTATTGAACCTGTGATCTATGACTGTCGATTACATGTTCGAGCCTGTCGAGTTCTTTACGAATCTTACGCCCGGCGCGAACATATGAAGACGCGATAACTGTTAGCGGAACCAAATAGAAGATGGCGAAGTTCGTTAGAGTGAAAACCTTGACATACCAATCCTCAGGCCATTTCTCCATGCATTGCTTTCCTTCTAGCCGTAGAACCAAAGCATAAGGTATTATTACCAGAGAGGGTAGAAGCCATGACACCCCAATGACAAACTTCACTGTTCTGGGGAGCACTCTCGGACGCATCGGTGTCATGACAACCCTGTGTCGCTCCAAGCTCATGGACAACAACGTTATCACAGACACAGCCATTAAAACAGTTTGAAACGGGTAGATCATATAACAGAGTATTGAACCAAACGGAAAACCACCCGAAAGTCGCTCAGCTAGATCGAGAGGAATGCTTATGGCGCATGTGGCGAAATCCGTGATGGCTAGGTTTAAAATGAGGTATTCTCCAACTCTTCGCGTCTGTCGGCCGAGTAGTGTCACTACGATCATTGTGTTTCCCACCAAGCCAACCATAATGATAGCAAAATAAAGCACCAATTGCACAATCTCGATCGCTGAAAATCCAGCAGTTTCTCAATCATCTGTGCCGTTCCCCAAAGTTTTGTAGAACGAGGTCATTTTTAAGATAGCAGTGATATTCTCCGGCGATTGTATCTTAAGTCTGCTTCTCTCTGTTGACAAAACAGAGGGCGTTACACCGTCAAAATTAAATCAGATATTATCCACCTTACAAATCTACATATCTATTCAGAAAATGTTGATTCGCGGGAGATCGAAGAAAAAAAGATCCTTCGAAACTGAAGTCATCGAACCAAAAAGCAAGCGCCGACAAACGAGATAAAACAACCGTTCACAAAGCAAACTATCTAATAGATTTTCAGGAATCTCCCCAGGGTATTATCAAAGGGAAATGTGTCGGGATTCATGATAAGGTGTATTGAAAACTCAGCATCAGATAGTAGAAAAAATGCACAAGACCATATAATCTTGATCACTCAAACTATTACTTTTGATATAAATTAAGATAAGCCATTGCATCCCTCTTAAGAAAACACGAACCATTCGTTCCTAAAAGAAATTTTCAGCTATTTTTTCATGACTATGAAATGAAATCTAGGAGGACTCATTGTCTGCAGTATGTATAAATATCAGGTTGTTAAAAGATAATACTATCAAACAACTCGACATCGGAAACAAATTACGTGATTTTTCTTTGGCAAAAATAGCCTACTGCTACAATCCTAGGCATAATTACTGAATCGTTTCTTCCCGGCGTTTCCACACGAAAACGTCGATAGGGTAGATACACGTTCGCTCTTCGCTCTCTCGAAGACTGTAGTAATGCTTTTTCCATCCTCACTCCAGACCTAATATTCTTATTTTTTGGAAACTAATCACAATTTTCTTTACAACCTAACTACATGGGCCGATTGTAAAATCCCGGTCAAATACCACCTGAATTTGTGTCCGTAGACAACAAACAAATTTTTAAAGCCTTGACGGTTTTATCTTTACCTTAGATAATTTACAGACTGAGTGAAAATGACAATGACTAAAGTATTTGTGCGCATAGATACCCACGCCTGACCGCTTCAATAACTAAGAAAAAGGCTGTTCTATTTGTATTCTACACAAGGATTAAAAGTAACCTTAATTGAATATATCTAGTCTTACATATATCTTTCGAACAGCTGTTGCGAAGTTTAACTTCTATTTATGCAGAGTTTCCTCCTCCTACTACTCCGTGCCCTAAGCTGTAAGGCCGAAGCTAAACTAAGCAGGAGTCAAGTAGAGGCATGAATGAGAACGATTGAGTTTTCAACAGAAAACTGCATTGCAGGAATTAATTTCAGGGCTTGTCTCTATTAATAGTAACCCGCCGATCAGACCTTCCTAAAGTAAGTGAAAAGGCAAAGCCCTTAACTTTTGACTATCTCACTGTCTTTCTTGGTAGTTCAGTAACTATGAGAGAGGCAAAAGAATTAAAATGTCTCGATCCTTGTCGTGTCAAGTGTTCTTATACAGGGCTGATTATTCGAGAAGAGTTCTGGCGGTCCCAGTGGGGCAGCCATGACGGCTTCATGGCGAAGACAAAGGGTAAAAGTCGTATTTGACTTACTTTCCTCGCGACAAAATAACTTAATAGGAGAGAGAGCCGCTTATATCTTATTACGTTCTTCAAGAGTTATCGATAAAAACTTGCACCATTTTAAACATAGGGGAAATGACCGGTTGCACAAAGCTTAGAGGTTGAATTGAACCAGTTATTAGAGTATTCTGGTTGACTGAGAGGCAAACGGAAAATTGCGTCCAATTGTTTCGACGCAACGCCATGATTAAGGATTCGTATCAAATTTTGTATGGTAGGAATACTTACGTCTCCAAAAAGGACTTCAAAGAAAGTGCGTGTTAATCTATAAGGCACTGCATGGGGAATCCCTACGTATATTGAAAGTACTTTAACTACAAATCACTCCCTGCATGGTAGAGAGACCAGACATGGCCAGTATAACCTATTCTGTCCCAAGTATCGAAATACTACTGAGGCAGGAAGGTCTTTCCAAGTTAGTAGTATTAAGTTATGGAATAGTCTTCCAAATGAGCTTAGGAAACAACGTAGCATCTCTTGTAGGAATTATTTGATGACTTATTTTATAAATTCTTATAGAGACATTGATTCTTTTGAAGCTGTATTATAATATAGTTTTATTGTATTTATAATCTTTGAATAGTTACATTGTTCGACTAGTTAGTTCTATTTTTAATCTCCATGGCTTAGAATGTATTACTTACTAACTTTAGTTTTGAGGGCCACTGGTTTATCAGCGCAAGCTGTTATGTGTATACCCTCTTTAAATAAAGTCGATTATTATTATTATTATTATTATTATTATTAATCGAGCTGGTTTTTTTAGCGGCCTGTTGGTGGTTAGAAGCTTTTTTCTTGCTGTTTGATTGGAAGTGACTTTTCAACAGAAAGCCTTAAGAATAGCACCTAACCTTATTAGATTCTTCAGTTCCATTTGCTAGGTTCACTGTTGATGTATTTAATGAGCTATAGCTGGCGGCAGCTGTGTGTCTTCGAAAAAAAAAATTCCCAACGTAGAAAAAAATTAATCCATCACAATTGTTTATTTATGTATTTGGCAGTCTTGGCGTCATCGTATGATGGTGTTTCGAGTGAACAATTATGGCACCTTGTTGAGAGCGCCAACGGATTATATTAAAAAGCTGAAGCTTGTAAATAATTTAAATCAAAGTGGAGCGAAACAAATCTTATTTTGCATTTTCATGAGTTAGTTAGGATGGCACTGGGTGGCATTTTAGGCGAATTTGCCGCGGAAATTATTCACCCTCACCATGCGCGGTGTGAATCATGGTTCAAGTTCTCGAACAAACTGAAGATGGAAAGAAATTAAAAGAGCTCTGCATTCATAACCTCTGGTTCAACTTCGCTATGAAAATGAACCCGAAATTTAAAGATTTGAGGCCAAGGGTAAAAAAATTAAGGTGGTATAATTAATTCCCAAGTGGAGAGGAACATCGAATATGTAATACCAACATCAAAGCGACCGGTGTATAAAGTTGTTCCTTTCTCCTCAGTTAAATTAACCAAAAACCTTGCGTTAAAAACAAAAGGGTTAAATTCTATGATTAGAAAAAATTCCGCTCAGCAAAGTAAATGTAAACTTACTCTTTCAAAAGTCTGAAAAAAAGCTAAGCAGTGTTTATTTCCTTGCTGGTCTTTACTTAATGTGATTTTTTTCTCCTAGTTTTTCATGAACAAAAAGGAAAACACTATGCATTTGATTCCTGATGCCTCACATTTCATGTCCGGTTGTCATTTTTTCTTGTCTTCATAGAAGACGTGTCTCGCTTTTAAATTGGCTTCATGTCAAAGTAATAGAATATATATCCTGATGTACCGGTTGTGCTTTTACCTCAAAAATAAAAAATTGAAAATTGAAAAACACAAAACAGTTTTTTTTTCAATAGAAAAGTGCGTTACTCTTTCTGGGGCTTCATGTACTTTCTGTGTAAATCAGAAAAGATAATAAACAAATAAATAAGTACTGAGCTACATTAATAAACGCTTGGAACCTTTCGAAGAGCTTGCACATCGCAGCCAAATGTTCTTGAAATTACAATTTTTAACTCGTGATGCAGGATCTTGCGTGGCTTTAAATAGACTGGTTAATTTGTCATCGATGGTTTTACTGTCAAACTTTCGCGGATGAAAAAATTGTAGAATATAGTTGCCCGAAGCAAAGCTGTATCTCATGAAAAAAAAAAGGTGATATAACTGGAGCGTTGTGAAATCTCTTTACTTCATTGAAAAGTAATGCTTAACTCTTACGCTTAGACTAAAAAAAACTACAGATAAACATATGATCCCCATTATAGACAGTTCATCTATAAGAGAAACCTCTTAAAACAGATCTATAGAGTTTGTCTAGAGGACTTAACTGTTAGAACCCGCACGAGCAGAAACGACCACATCAAATGGGCTATAACTGATCTTCGACACAATTTTCAACAGAATAGTACTTGTATGAACAAAAAAAAATTCACATCGCAATATAAATTTCAAAGGCCGAGAATTCCGAAAACAATCAGTATTTTTAAAACAGTCCATTCATATAAAAAGACTGATAAACCTTGCCTGCTTACGCGGCCCTAAGAACTTTTCCCAAACTTAAACATCTTGTCCATACCTACTGGTGTTGTAAAACCTTTGCTGGAAAGCCTTGAAGATTGGATCTATTGCAAAGAAAGGCGATATGGGAAAACTGCGACATAAAACATTACAAGCGAGAACACCGGTGCAGCTGCCTTTAATAAACATGTGGGTTTAAAACAATATATACCATTTTAACCGGTAATCGACGCCGACTAGTATGAACTTACGCTCGTCTGAATGGTTAGCATGGCAACCTTGTTAATTGTTGCAATTCAAGGAATTGTTTTAGACTTGCACCTATATAAATCAACCCACTCTGTTCAATCAACCTGCTCGAAAGTAATACGCGAATTTCAGGCGATTTTCAAGCGATTTTCAAGCGATTTTCGCACCAAACTCGAATAAACCGCTAAACAAGGTTCTTTCCACAATCAGAGTTTTATCTTTCAAGTTCAAGTAAAATTTGTGACCTAGACATCAATACATTTTGATAATCAGTTAGCCTTCCTTCAAGAATGTGGGGGACAAATGTGCGATAAAATTAATTATTCATTATTGAAATATTACAAATATATCTACTGAGTTTCATAGAGATTTCACTCTGATTATACGCATACATCGCTTAGGATTTATTATAAACGTCCTACCTCCTACCATACGAACAATCAACAAATGATTCATCAGTTTTCAAGGGATTGACGCATGCTGTAGTCCAGCGACAGTGAAAGCGCAGTAATTATTTATTTGTAATTGATTCATTTTCAAAAGGTGATCTCCATCCACCACATGTATCCGTTCAATCGTTTTTGCTTTATCTTTCCCCTAAAAAAGTAAACCTCTGTTGCTTTACAAAGATAACAAGGGTCAGCTTGGTCTCCCTTCAAATTGAGCCCAATGTTTAAGTTTCATTTTGTTTGTGTAACTTTAATTTTTCGGGGCCAACGGATTATTTCGACACCCTTTATTTCATAATGAATAATTTATTTTAAAAAAATTTCTTCAGAACCGCCTGCTGGGCCATAACGCAGCACTGCTCCTTAATGACAATGTGGAATGATAAATTACTCTTATACCGAGTGATTCGCAAAGTGAAAACAGGGAATCAAACAAAACAAAACAGACTGGCATAAGGCACTGAGACTTTCAACAAAATGTGGTGAAAATTTTCTTTAGTCTTCATCAGCCATGTCGATTGGTTAAGATGTTTAATTGGTGTTTCTCGTATCTGAAAACATTTTTCTTTTCCAACTTACAGTTTTATCTACCATGAATCATTTTACTTCAGAAATCAACTTATCATGTCATTCAATTTACAGTCCGGTTTGGTTTCCTTCAAAAAATATTAAAAATAACCAGTCGTCGTGAGCTGTTTAAAGAAATTCATAGCTTAGACTACTTGGACCAGTTACTGTTCTCACAGCTCTTTTCTTTTTTTTTTTTTTTTTTTTTCATCTATTAGATCAAGGGTATATTTTTCAACTGATATAGTTATCATAGTGCACAGCGTGAGTTATAGTAACTTTTCCTTTTATATTTCCTAACAGCATCAGAAGCACTAACATAAGAGAAAAAAGCTAGTACGAAATCTATATTTCTGTCCTGGGAGTTCACGCTTTTTTTGCGCTGGTGCTCATTTGTCAGCGAAAGAAACTTGGTTTTGTCAAAGGCTTTTTCGCGCAAGAACGCTACTCCACCTATTAATGAAAAATTGTATGCTCATCTGAGTCTCTTATGTTATAGCATACAGCTAAATTAATTTCCTTTTTTATTTTTTTTAAAGAACCAACTTGGCGAAGCATTTCCGACGATATCAGGTCATATGTACTCAGCTGCGTGCCCATGAGTGGAAAAGGATTTTTGACCTAATCCTTCAAATCTTAAAAAAGGCCAAACAGTAAAGAAAATAACTTCAAAACTGAAGCAAAACCCAATACAATAAGTTAGTCTGACGATAAAGGTCCGGCTCAAGGAAAATAACGTATTTTTACGGCACAGCAAACAGTCTCTTAACGAAAAGTGAGGTCGCTTACCTAGAAAACGCTGTTCACCCTTATTCTCCTTCTTGCCTTAATCCCCACAAGGTGTTTGGGGACGTTCTTTGTTGGGCTCTGTTAGATACGCGAATGTTTTTTTTTTTTTTGTTATTTTTAAGCGCTTCCGTTACCTTCGCTGTCTCTCTGAGTGCCGAACAAACAAAAACATGATCCATTCAGAACCAAACACAAAACTCTCTTTACATCCTATGGAGCACCTTTAAATACACTGTGGTACATTAAGTTGACAAACATTATCCACTTTTGCTGTTCGGTTTACAAAATTGCGTGGGAAGTAAAATTTGATGTGTTGCTCAAATTTACTAATTGATTTACGAAGTTTGAAGCAGGGAGAAAAATTCAAAATCAATACGGCTGTGATCACTGATTAACTAGTTCTTAGAAGCCGAGGCAAATGAAATACGGTAAAAACACGTGGGATAAAGTCGCTCAAGATCACCTTAGGGAAGCTTAGTTTCATAATCGAAGCTAGATAGACGGATACTGATGTCTCGTAATAGAGTATATTTATATTCAAACTTATCAAAGTGTGAATTCACTTTTACATCAATGAATTAGTAAATGACTTCATTAAAATCCTTTCTATCGACAGGTGGTTGACACGATGATTCAGTAGTTTTTGAGAAAGAGAAAAAACCAAAATAGACCAAGACACGTCGAGAAATTTACTCTCGGGAAATGTAGATTTTCAATTCTTCCTTAAAAGTTTTTAAACTAAATTGGTACAAGAGTTTATGTAATGAAAAAAAGTTAATTAAAGGAGCCAATCTTTTTCAGTTTGTGGGGTTGTTTACTATACAACTGAGGTTATTAAGTTTCAATATAATGGGAGCCGTAGGTTTCAATAAATTGGTAAAGTTTTCGCCATATTTGGGCATTTTTTGTTTTATTTTGCATGAGATATTTCCGTTGACGCAAGTTTACTTCACCTAGTTTCACGTCATTCTGTAACGTCAATACTCTATAATACGAACATTGAAAATTAAGTTTTCAACAGTGTTACGCGCTCGCTAACGGAAGCACTGAAAGGTTGTGTTCCCGTTATAACGGAACAACAGATACATTTATATACCACTTTCTTTGACGTACGTTAGTTACCCTTGATGTTTGCGGGAAATTCTAAAAAAAAAAAATTAGTGAAAAAACTGATAGTGAAGTGTTTAAGACAAATGGCCACTATCATGTATTTACTGACTGAGTGCGAGGGCCGCACGGGAAAAACATGTGGCTCGAAGTCGGTCCGTGCGTCCTTAACGAGAGCCAAATATTTTCCCGTCCAGCCCGACCTAACTCAATCAATAAGCATTTTATCATATGAGCTCTGACTAAGTTTAGAACAATTCCAAAAAGTTTGTAATAACAAAAGATGAGGTAAGATGACGCGAATCCTGTGTTCTGAATGGCTACCCGAGCGGGCAAGATGGGCCCATCTTGCCCGCTTGGGATTGTCTGCATTGATCCGGTGCATTAAGAAAATTGAATCAGAACTACGTTCGTAATTCTTGGACAATTTCGGCGATGGAAACGCAAAAAGGGGAAGAAGATAGTCAAAACAAAGAAAACAGGAACGACTCTCGCAAGTTCAATGTGCTACAAACATAGTTGGCTTTCTTTCCCTGCTCTCGAAGTAAACAAGTCATTCTCAATTCTTAAAAAAGCGAAATCTTTTTCCAATATAATAAATCCTTTATTAACCAAGCTTGTTCAGTCAAGATGGTTGGATATTAGCCTCATTCTTTTTTCGCATTTTTATGGACCTCGACTTCGTCTCGATCCATAAAAATGCAAAAAAAGAACTCGGTCAATATCCAGCCATCTTGACCGAACAAGCTTGGTTAATAACGCATATTTATCCGTTTGCGAGTTCAATTAGTTTAAAATCCACAGTGTAGAAGTGGAAACGCCCAAGTAGTACTAAAGTACAATTCTTCTCCAAGCTCTTATTTTCTGGTTTCTTAGCGCCCTTAAATTGAAATTCTGCGCTTTCAAAAACTTTTCCTACGCTTAAAGTCAACGAGACTTTTTATTTTTCTTATCGATGAATGAATGAATGAATGAATGAATGAAACTTTATTGAATCTCGGGTTGATGGGATTGATTAGACTCCTAGCAAGGAAAGTATGCTAATAAGCCGAGAAAACAAACCTTAGAAACTTATTTACAGAGCAAATCCTAAAATAACATGACATAGCTATTTTTGCAATAAAAAGCCTTATTACTAAATAGATAATGTTCAATTACTAAATTAAATCTGATTACTAAATAGATAAAATTTAATTACTGACTAGATAATTACTAGAAAGATAATATAGAGAATTAACTAAAACCTTAGCTGTCGGACTGCTTTTTTAACGGTTGACAAAGTGCTTATGGATCTCAAAGAATCAGAAATATTGTTCCAAGTAATAGCCACCAAGTACTTTACTGAGTTCTTGCCAAAACGAGTCGTATTAGGTTTCAGTACTTGCAGCTTGTAAACCCCTCTCGGGTTTTTGATGTTGTCTCTTAACCTAAATAGGTCTCTCAGATATTCAGGTGGATTATTGTTGACTTAAATACAATAACAACAAACATATGAAACATATGTGTGAACTGCGGTTATGAGACGTATATGAGAACGATCCTTCGCAGTAAAGCACTAGTATCGCAGAGGTCAGTGGTTCGAGTCCCCTACAGGCCTGAAATTTTTTTCAGGTCTGATTTTCACTATTGCTCAAATAGTGCTTTACTGCGAAGGATCGTTCTCATATACGTCTCATAACCGCAGTTCACACATATGTTTCATATGTTTGTTGTTGTTTGATTTATCATCTACGGGTTTATATCGAATTAATTTGATGGCCTGCTCCCAGTTGGCTTGTTAGCTCAATTGGTAGAGCGCTGCACTAGTATCGCAGAGGTCAGTGGTTCGAGTCCCGTACAGGCCTGAAATTTTTTTCAGGTCTGATTTTCACTATTGCTCAAATAGTGCTTTACTGCGAAGGATCGTTCTCATATACGTTAAATACAATAGTTAACAAGTTCTGGATACGTCGATCTGCAAGACTGTAACCAATACGATCACAGAGAGTGCTAGTTTGTAAAGACTCATTACTGTACAAGTAACGAAGTGCTCGTTTATGCAACCTATCCAGTTTTTTACTATCAGACTTTAAACAGTGATGCCATATGGAGGAACAATAATTAAAATGAGACATTAAAAAAGAATTATAAAGGCAGAGTTTGGTCCGAAACAATAAGATATTCTTTAGTCTACAAAGAACATCAAGTTGCTTTCCAACTTTCTTGCTAATTTTGGTGATGTGTTTTCCAAAATTCAGGGAATTGTCCAATGTTAACCCAAATAGATCTATTGTATCAAACAGTGGTAATGCAACACCATAGGCAAATAGTGATAACTTGACGTCTGGTTTTCGTGAGAGAACCATCGCCTTGCATTTTTCAGGGTTCAAGATCATCTTGTTATTACGAAACCTCTCACACACCACCACAAGTTCCTTATTGACAACATGTTCGACAACGGCTGGATCAGTATCAGCAAAATACAGCTGATTATCATCCGCATAGTTGGACAACTTCGCCTCTTTGATAAAATAAAATAAGTCATTTATGAAGATATTAAACAATAAGGGGCCCAAAACAGAGCCTAGGGTAATGCCACCATTCACATCCGATATATCACTTGTAACGTCCTCTACTCGAACCCGTTGCTTGCGATTGTTAAATAGTTCTTCAGTAAGTTTAAACTATGGGTAGAAACGCCATAAGCAGAAAGCTTCGCAAGTAACAAGTCAAGTGGTATCAAATCAAAAGCTTGGCTTCCAGGTTTCAATCTATTGAGGAAGGATAGAGATTGCCCTGGCAGTGGTTTAGCAGTTTATATCGCTGAACATCTGAGCTTTAATCGACTGGACTATATAAACTCGGAAATAATGGGCACAATGGACCTGGAAATGATTTGCTATGAACTGTTTCAACCGAAATCAAAGAAGCTCTGGGTTGTTTCTATCTACAGACCACCGAACTCCAGTATTTCATCTTTTAACTCCACCTTAGAGGAAACTCTAAACAACTTTAAACTTATGGGTACAGAAATTATATTCATGGGGCACTTTAATGTTGATTTCGCCAAAACAACACCAGAGACTAAAAATCTTCAGCGGATAACCAAGTCTTTCAACCTAAAACAGTTAATCAAGAGTTTTACAAGAATAACTCAACATTCAAAGACCTTAATCGATTTGCTTTTCACCTCAAGACCAGAGCTTTATTCTACTGGAGTTTTATCAGTTGGTTTTTCTGACCACAGTGCTATATTTGGGGTGAGAAAGCTTCACACGATGAAACGACCTCCACCAAAAGTTATCGAAACCAGAAATTAGAAACACTATAATCCGGCATTGTTCCGTGAAGAGTTACGACACATTCCATGGGAAATTATCAAACTTCAAGAGACAATAGATGAATGCTGGCGCGCCTTCAAAGATCTATTCTTAGAAGCTGCAGACAAACACGTTCCTATTGTTACGCGTCGAGTACGTAGATATTCGGTGCCGTGGCTAACTAGCGACCTAAAACGACTTATGCATGAGCGCGACTATCACCACAAGATGGCTCTTAGTACAAACAAAAAACTACATTGGAGCAATTATAAACGATTGCGTAACACAATCAACACTAGACTGAGTAAAGAGAAAAGCAGTTATTATTCTAATCAACTGGCAGAAGAAAAAGATTCTAAAGAAATGTGGCGAATCTTGCATAAAATCGTTCGAAAGAAGATCAAAACAGTGCCCCAAGTGGTGACGGACTAATGGCCTCATGCTTAAATGGTTTTTTTACATCTATTGCAGGTACTCTTTCTAGCCATTTTGATTGTTCTACCTTACCGAAAGTGTTAACACCTAAAGTTAATCATGACTTCGTCCTAGAAGAGGTGTCCTCTAGCTTTGTTCGTAAAGAACTGCTCCAAATGAAGTTAACGAAAGCCACAGGTCTTGATGGAATGTCTAAATGAAGACCTAGAAAACGTCTTCAACTGGCTACAAGCGAACAAACTCACGTTGAACATGACTAAACCGAATTCATGCTAATAGGGTCGAGGCAGAGACTGAATACTCTCACAGCTTCACCAACAATTAGAATGAACAATACTCAAGTGAGCCAGGTTACAGCTACAAAATCGCTTGGTGTAATAATAGACGATAAACTCGATTGGTATAGTAACATCGAAAAACTAACGAAAAAGATCGCCTCTGGTATCGAGGCCCTGAAGCGAATTAGGCACCTGATCCCAGCATCAACCTTACATCTCATCTACCAAGCTTCAGTAAAACCTCACTTTGATTACTGTGACATTGTTTGGGGTAGCTGTGGGAAAACGCTACGAGACAAACTGCAGAAATTGCAGAATATAGAGCAGCCCGTGTGTTGACATTCTCCAACTATGACGCTGATGCAACTGAGCTACTCGAGTTTTTAGGGTGGAAAAATCTTGCACGCCAGCAGGAAATCCATAAAGCCACCATGATGTTTAGATGTCTGCACGGGCTAGCTCCAAGGTATCTATATTCAAAGTTTACGTGGCGTGACACTGCTTATGACCTCAGGGACTCTGAAAATAAGCTTAATGTTCTACTACCGCGCACTACTTATTACAGAAAAAGCTTTAGCTATAATGGCGCCACATTATGGAACAGTCTACCACGCGATATGAGGAACACAGAGTCTTTGAGGTTATTTAAACGTAAGATCAATGACATTCTTTAAGTCTAACGCACGGCATTCACGGAAAACAGCTTTAGTGTTTAGTGAACTTTAGTATGTAGTTTTAATTTTAAATATCTTAGCGTATGTGATATGTATTTTTATAGGCTGATGAATTGATCGTGTTTAAATAAAGATTAAATAGAATGGAATCTCTGCTCGATTATTGAAAGATGTAGCCCCTGAGATATCTGAATCGATTACTTACATCATTAATCTGACAATTTCTACGGGTACAATTCCATCTGAATGGAAAACAGCGAAGGTCACTCCAATATACAAATCTGGAGATAGGCGCGATCCAAACAACTATCGCCAAATTTCAGTCCTTCCCTTGATCTCCAAAGTAATGGAACGAGCAATTCAATCACAGCTTGTAGCATTTCTCACTAAACACAACCTCCTATCGATTAATCAGTCAGGATTTCGGAAGAAGCATTCTACCGAAACTGCCACTGTGTACTTTGTAGATCATATTTTAGAACAAATGGACAAACAGATGATGACTGGGTCTATTTTTATAGATCTTAAAAAAGCGTTCGACCTTGTTGAGCACCAGTGCTTCCTCCATAAACTAGAGCATTACAGCATTAGGGAGAAAAGCCTGAAATGGTTTGAAAACTATCTGACTACCCGATTTCAGAGGGTCAAACACAATCAAGACATATCATCCAATTTAGCAATTGGCCATGGGGTTCCTCAAGGATCCATATTGGGCCCAATACTGTTTGTGATCTACATTAATGATCTTCCACAATGTCTAATGAAATCGTCCATAGGCATGTATGCTGACGACACAGTCATTTATTTCTCTGACACTAGTCCAGGTCTTATTAAGCAGACTCTTCAAAATGATCTGAACTGCGTTGAGCAGTGGTTACAAGAGAAAAAGCTTGTACTTAATCAGAATAAGACAAAGAGGGTGCTATTTGGAACTAGACAAAAATTAGAACTCTCCTCAGACATTGTACTACAATCTCATGGGCAAGATATTGAAAGAATAACAAGTTTTTGTTACTAAGGGGTTACACTGGATGTGCACCTCTCATGGATTGGGCACGTTGAAATAATTTGTAACAAAGTAAGCAAACGTCTAGGACTCCTGTCCCGCATACGACCCTATCTTACTCAAAAAGCTGCTAAATGTGTATACAACTGTCTTATAGAACCAATTTTTAACTACACTGACACGGTATGGGGTGGACTGTCAAAAGGCTGCGGTAAAAACCTACAGCGTCTACAGAACAGAGCAGCGCGCATAGTACAAGGGAGGTCCACGACCGAAGAAGCATTTCAGATGTTAGGGTGGATAAACCTAGAAACACAGAGAACTATGCACAAGTGTATTTTAGTTTATAAATGTTTAAATAATCTAGCTCCCCCCTATTTTTGTGATTATTTCATAAGAAATAATCGTATTCACAGTTATAACACCAGAAACAGTAACGATCTTCATTTACCCGCCCCTAAATTAAGTCTAGGAAAAAACACTTTTAGGTATTAAGGTTTGATCCTTTTTAATAAATTATCTAGAACATTGAAAGGAGCTACATCACTCTCCAAGTTTAAAAACCTTCTTAAACAATATTTTACTGGATGAGATATTGTATATTTTATTAGCTCTTTATTCTACATAATTGTTGTATTTTTATCTTGTAGTAGTTTTTAGCCGGTGGTAGTTTTTCAATTATTATGTAGTAATCATTAATTACGCAGGGCTCCTATTGATACCAGCCTAGTGCTGAAAGGGCCACCCTGCTTAAATAAAGATGACTTTGACTTTGACTTTACTTAAGTCCACTAAAACAGACCCAGCCACAAAATTGTTTTCAACAGCTCCTTTCCAGTCCTCGATAAGATTTAACAGCACGGACTCGCAACTGTAACCTTTTCTATATGCTGACAAGAACTTAGACAAATGCAGGTCGAAGTAGTGAACAAGCTGCTTCTGCACACATCTTTCAAAACCCTTGTCCAACAATACTAGGATGGATACAAGTCTGTATTTGGATTTATCAAACTCATCATCTCTCTTGAAGATAGAACAAATCTCTGCCAGTTTCCAATCGGTAGGAACACAAGCATAATCAATACCAGCGTTCACCAGATGTGCAACAGGGACAGCCAAAACTGAAACTCCATCCCGTAAGACACGAGCAGGAATTTGATCATGATCAGTAGCTTTATTGGGATCTAAGGACTTAAGAATTAACTCCGTTTCCGCCACTGAGACGTGATCAAACTCAAACTGAGCAGCTACACATTCCTTTCTTGTAGCGACAATGCTTGGGTGAACACTAAAGTCTACGGAAACATTAGAATCACTATTATGCTCATCACCCACATTTTGAATAAGAGAAAAATAGTTGTTGAAGATCTCAGCCACTTCTTGTCAGTCACTAGTACGCCATTCTCCATAAGGTGAAAGGACCCTTCATTCTTATTTCGTTTACAATGCATGAAGGGCTTAATTGTATGCCAGAATTGTTTTGGATCACCTTTGGCACTGTCTGCTCATGACCGGAGATAGTTAGAAATTTCCCTACGTCTTAGAGATGAAGTAAAATTACGCTGTAGTCTGTATTTCTCCCAATCCCCAGGATCCTTGGTCTTCAAAACTAATTTTCTTAGCTTGTTACAGTGACGAATGGAGCCAAGAAGTTCAGGTGTCATGAATGGCACATGTTAACGCTTAGATATAGATCTTTTCACTGGAGCATGAACGTCCAGGGAGTCGTATAACAATTTTCCCCAAGCCCAACACATCCTCATGGTCATCAAAAATATCTGCAACGTGGAAGGGAACTGTGGCAATGTCAGCTGAGATCAGTCCTGGGTCATAATCCTTGAATTGGCGCTTTGAAACTACTCCAGGACTGAATCTTGGACATTGTAACCGTAAAATAGCGTAAATAAGGCTATGCCGCCGCCGCCCGTGACAGAACGGAAAATGCGTGCACTGTAAGTACCTCTGGTTCTCCCATACAAAGCCTTAGAAAAGTTTTCTGAGGCTTTGTATGGGACAACCAAAGGTACTTACAGTGCACGCATTTTCCGTCCTGTCATGTCACTCGGGCTAACACCAAAAACTCCTGAAGTAAGAACAGAGCGCGGCTTGTTCTTAAGAATTACATCAATGAGTGAGCTGGATTCCACCACTACCCCAGTTGGTGCTTTAATCAAGTTGGTTAGACCATAAACATCCATCAAATCTATAAGAGGTTTGCCCTCTTTAGCTCCCTTGTTAGGCCGGGAGAGGTCGCAGTTTAGGTCTCCTATTAACATAATACTTTCGTAACGTTGAGTTGCCCGAAGAAGAATGTTGTTAATTTCATGTTCCCATGTAGTTTTCAACAAGCCAGGTGGTCTGTACATTCCGATAACAAGTACCTTTTTTGTTCTACTGGACGTTTGCACACACAGCGAAATCGATTCAACTTCATGACTCTCCTAACGTAAATGAACACACCACCCCCAAAACAGTTACGATCATTACGATACAGGCGAAATCCTTTGATGTAAAAGCGCGAATCAGGAAATGAGTGGGGCGACCTTGCATTCACTGATTACCATGATGTCGAAGAGACTTTTGAGAATAAGGGACTTCAATTCATAGAACTTAAAACCATCTACACTGTTGATGTTAACATGCCCAATCTTTAAGTTCTTAATAGAAAATTTCAGCAGAGTCGTAGTTAATTCCTCGTCCTCTGCAGCTTTAGACGATTTATCAGATGGGAAAGTCAAGGTGTTAGAATCGTCACTTAAACTTTCCTTGAAAAATGGTAATGACGCGACGGCACATCGATTAAAGGTCCACGACACAGGCATGGATGCAGGAAAAACTCGAGAGTCAGCCATAGAACTTGAACAATCAGTTTAACATGCATCATATCATGACACATCCAACAGATAAAACGTCTATGATTTTTAGCTACTGCTTTCTCACAAACGAGACATGTTAGGGGTATCGAATGGTCCAATTCAATTTAAATGTGCTAGCAAAATTTGGCCTTTGCTCGAACTGCTCCCAAAAACCACATGGGTGCTCGCTTGCTCAATTCAGTATAAAATTTCAAGGTGCAAAAATTTGGAATTCAATAAGTGAAGAAATTAAATCTCTCCACAGGCTATCTTTTAAGAAAACCTTAAAGAGAGAAATCATACAATTATATTGATACGAAGTTACTTCTTTTTACTTTCAATAAGTAATCTATGTTGCATTGTAAGTAGCTTTATCTATTGCTTGTCACTATTCTCATGTTGTAAATATAATTTTTTTCTTTTTTTCTTTCTCTTTGTTTTGTTCTTGCCCCTGTGTAATGTTAGCTTGTATTTTTGTCTTAAATATTTAATATATATTATATATAAATTTTATATCTCTATCCTTAGGTTGCTTTTATTCTATTAATACACATGACCGTAACCTTTCCTAATTTGCATTGCATAGATAGCTGCCTAATCTTGCTAGCCCTTATGGTTATTATGGGCAGCTAATACCTTACTCTTAAGTTTCAAAATCTATGTATTACTTTTTTCTTCTTGTTGGTATAAATAAATGTTGTTGTTGCTCGTACTCACAAAATTCTTGCAACTGCTCGCATGCTCGCATTCTCGTTAACAGACGCTCGATTGCTCGAAATTGAGCCTGCTTTGTATTAATTTTTTATACATATATAAACGATAACTCAGTTATGCTGTGTTTAAAACAAAAAGGTTGAAACATCCCTACTTCTGGTTTCAGTCTTTCTTCAACAGTTCAGGCCTGTAATAAATAATAATTAATAATAATTATCATTTCTATTGCGCAAATTAACATATGGATATGATCAAATGCGCATCACAACACTTTTCGGGGGACTTTGGCCAGACTGCATCAGCAGTTTACAATCAATGAAAGGAAACTTATGATGATGCCCCCTCCCCCCCAACTCCAGTAACCAGGTCAGACCACATCACAGTAGTCCCGTGAGTGGGTTCTTTAACGTCCCCTGCCTAACCAAATTGGCTAATTAATAGATGAAGGAGACGTAAAAGTAACTGTTTTGGAGGCGCGGTAAGTATTATCGGGAAAATCATTTTTCATCGTCGCAGGCTTTCTGCTTGAGAGGGGTGCAGTTCCGCAGTTCAAACATTAAAATTCTGATATAGTTAAGCGGAAGTTCGATATGACGGAAGGTGACATAATTCCCTGCGGAGACAACATTACTTGCGAACCTTTGTGGATCTGAATTTCCATCTATTTGAGTAAATTATCAGGGTTTGTCGATATGATGGATTTTCCAGTGGGCAATGGGAAATAAAATGGACAATAGCAATAATAGCTATTATAATCTGATACCAAACGGTGGCATTTTGAAACCCGATTAAACAAAACAACATTAATAACAACCCTCGATCGTTTGGGCTTCACCGGCCTAGGGAAATTCTTCGATGAAATGTTGCTTTAACTGTTTTGATCAGAAACTAAAGGCCTAGCCAAACGAGAAGACATATGTCTAAACTATGTCTTCATGTCTCGCGGAAACACGAAAGAATTCTTCTCGCAAGGCACCCGCGAAGGTAGAAAGTAATCTAAAGAAATACTACTATTGCCAGTACTATTTGACCTTCGGAGCTACTACTAGAGCTTGTCAGATATGTACGGCTGTAACTGGTTAGATTCTAGAGGCCTCCAAATAAATAAAGCTTCATTGCGTTGAATCTTTTTCAGTCAATCAGCGGGAAACCAGTTTGCCCGGATCATCGAAACCCAAGCCCGAAATGCTTGTTGGACCGAATTTCACGTTATTTACATTTTATAAGAACCATACAACCAAAAAAAAAAACCTCCCATTTTAGCGTCGACTTAGAAAGAGATGAAGATCGCGGGCTTTGGATTTATTACATCTTCTTGAGAGCTCTTGAAGTTCTTGAGCGTCCACCTTGACTGACCCACGTGAAGCTACGCGACGTAATTTGGCATCAAGCAAGGCACAGTTGGCTGTAAGATGCTGGGACTGGTTGAACCGCCCTAGCTTTGCACCTATAGTTCTGTTTTGTAGGTTTCAGCCGGCTAGCGGAAAATTTATCAAGTATTCGAAGTGCTCGCTGCTCGCCATCTGTATTTTCTAAAGTGCTCGCTGCTCGCAAGAAAAATTTGACAACTTCTCGTGCTCGCAAAAATAAAGACACTGCTCGCAAAGACCATTCGATACCCCTCATGTTCGAGCAGATGACCTCCCTTGGTTTCGTTTACTCACAGGTTCTGGATTTACATTAACATCACCGCAAATGATAAACAGCTCCGGCTGAAAAATCGCATTCGAATTGGAGTAATACACAAAAGACCTAGAAAAGCCCTTGCGACGAAACAGGGGACAGCTATTAATGCCACGTCGACGACACGATAATAGGGACCGTACGCAGTCAGGACGGCAACGCCACTGAAGACGTCGATTAAAAAATTAATTTCTACTTTTAGTTAGAATTTCGAAAATGACTGCATGTATTTACCGTCTCATAGGGCGCCATACCTCAACCTCAACATAATTCATGAAAGTAGCGTTGAGGGCCAAATGGAAATTAAAATAATTTGGCGTCGCGGTTTCGCTTCGCAGACGACGCAAATTTTGGTGATTTCACGTTGTTGTTTTGCAAAGGGTAGCTAAGAAATGAACAAAGTTTTAAAACGCAGGTGCTGGGCTATTGTTCTTCCAATTAGATTTTTTGTTTTTTCACGTTCCCGTTGCCGTCGCCGTCGTGGTTTGCGTAAGGTCCCTAATATACCAAGATAGCGGCCGGCCAAGTTACAAATGCTTGTGGAAAAGTTGGCACCTGTCCGGTCAGTCAGCGTTCCCAACGTTTCTGATGGTACAAAATCATTGTTTGGTATGATAACAAGACATCTCCAATACAATATTGCAAACATTACACAGATAATATTGTAAAACTTTACAACATTCCGGGAACTAGTTGAGAAACGTCTAACCGCCATGATGACCGTGAACCCAGAAACATGAACTTTTTCATTGTTCTGGGTTGAGATAGATTTTACAAAATCTAGAAATTCGAATAAATTCGATGAAATGCGAATTGTGACTTTACGGAACCAAAATTGCGATTTCGTCTGATGCTTCCGACAGTCGTTTTACCAGCGGACATCTAAAGCAAGAGATATACATTGCAAAGTGGTGGTCATAATCACAGCTCAGGAGCATAACCGCGAAGACACCCTCATTAAGGATGCAGTGAAATCAGTCATGCATCTCCAACAACATGATAGTTCACAGGCAGCCCAAGCTCACTGCTAGAAAAGCGGACGTAACTTTTACCGTGTTGCGCAACGTTTTATATTTATAGAGGTTTGTATGGGATGTAATCGGTTTGCCTTAAAAGAGAGAAAAAAAATGTCTTGTTTGGAAATAAAATGGGCTTACCTTATTGCCTTGTTGTTTTCTTTGTTGATTCCTAGCGTCCCAGGCCATTTTGAAGCGTTTTCGGCGAGTTAGCGCTATGTTGGTGTTCAACTGCTAAAAGACTAAATCGCCGAGATTCTACCGCGATTGCGTACATGTATCTGAAGTGTCAGTCATCTTTTCCAAGCGCTTTTCTTCTGTAAAAAAATTGCACATCATCGATTCTCAGACTTGATCGTCAAAAGCATTTAATAATGAAGCTTAACTTGAAAAAAAAAAAAAATTAACTTTAATAGCTAACACAATTACTTGTAACCCGGTAGTTTACATTGTGGGCTATAAACAAATAATTGAAATTGAACATAACATTGTTAAGAATCCCAACTGGCCGGAGGCAAACCAGTTGGCTATTTACAAGCATGGCCGAGGATTTGAACTCGGAGCCACCGTGAAACAAGATAGTGGTCAGGGCGGCACTCGAACCCGGGAGCGACGGATTGCGAGTCCGACACGCTGACCACTCGGCCACGCTGCCTCCGACAAAAGTTTCTGATTTCGTAAAACTTGATTTCCGGGTAACGAGATGCTTTTCCGATTTGGTAGCTATTGTTGTTACCCATAATCCTCTTTAAGAAAAATATCAACACCGCCACATAGTCGATCGATCGATCGACCGCCTGCGTTTCTTACTCTCTTTACACTTTCGGCCATATTTGAAGTACTAATTATTTCATCTGGAGGTGAAGTATAGAAGAGAGGAGTCCAAGGAAAGTTAACCAGTTAAATAGTGCGAAAATGAACTTTATCCATCTGAGGTTTGAGGCAGAGTCGATTGAGATAGCTGGTGAGAACCAATAAGGTAAGACTGAAACCACAGACGTAGATCCTTCTAGAAGAAGTTAATCCGTCAAACAAATTGTAAATTTTAAAAACATTTCAAACTAGAATTGCATCATTGAATAAAATCTTGCAATCTGATCGGTTAACGAAGCGAGGTATTTAGCGTGGAATTGCCGGTTGAAACGAGGCTAAGTGATATTTTTTCGCATCTACGTGCGATATCGGTTTTCGCGTGCAATTTAATGCTGAATTCCCTCGTTAAGTAATGAATTTTCCCACAGTATTGTTTGGATAACTTCGTTTAATAGTACTGGCTATTACATTCGTCTGATATGCACGAAGTTGTTATAACATAACACCCCGGCGATCAAAGCCACGCGATTTACAGCGGAACGATTCAACGATCCTTGGCTGGCAGTCATTTTGAGTATGTGATCGCATTTGTGCTTTTAATTCTCACGGAAATCTGAGAAACAATCTGCAAACAGGTTGAGTTACATACATCGTTCTTGCTAGAGGTCTTGATCTTGGCAAAGTTTCAAACTTTTAAAATGCATTCGTGGCTTAGCATTACATTTCCCTACCACAAGATGGTAGTAGTGTGAAAATAAATTTAATTTTACTTAACTATCATTTAAACGAATAAAACTGCATAATTATCGTTTAGAAGTTTGAAGTTGTATTCTCAAGTCCAAAATAATGGTAATTTTCCTCCTGTAATTGATGTATGTGGTCCGTAGTCGGTAGCGCGAATATTAAGTTGAAAGATTAAAATTCTGAGTCCGAACTTTATCGCAACTTTGTATTTTTTGAAAAGCCACCCATTTGACGAGACAATTTCCTCTTAAGTGAGCTTAGCGAAAAAAAGGAAACCGTTTTGTTCCTTGTCATCTGCTCGGAGATAGAGAGTGCTCTGCTCACGAGTTCCGCGTGAAGTCAGTATCGTGCGAAAAACAATGCTCGTGCATACGATATATATACATATGTATTAAGGCTATACTCTGCCTTTATTCAAAGACAGTGTGTAACGCCAGTCTTCACAATTTTTTTTGTATAGATTCACAATGCAGTACTCTGAGGAGCAACTTAACTACTTTCGATTATGTCACGTTGGGTTCAACTTGGTTCCAGAAGGACTAAGGCGCATTTTCAAACAAGAGTGGAACTTCCGGTTTAAAACTCCTTTGGGGGGAGAATGGCAAGACACGCCACAAAACGGACGACAATTTTTCAGCAAGGAAGGAAAACGAAGTCGGTCAAAAAACGCGCGATATTTAGCAACGGTACAGAGTGGCAATACAACAGAATGGGACTGCAGTTGTTTATTCTTTGCCATCCTTTACTCGGATAGCATTGGTAGCACCCTCGCTGTAGCGATCAAAAGCGATGTCGATGATCTCCGCCAAGTTCGAAATGATATTGCACATATTTGTGAGGGTAAGCTGACTGATGCCGAGTTCCAGAATCACATAGGAAGGGTACTGCGCTCATTTACGTCATTGGGTCTTCAGGTCAATGATATTGAGGCTGTGAGAAAGCAGACAAGTTTCCCAACAGCCGAGTTACAGAATCTGGCGAGTCTCGTTGATACCTTAAAGAAAGAATCAAAGAGAAAAGAAGTAGACCTGCAAGAAACGCGGAATACGCTACGAAAGAAAGAGGAGGAAGTGGAAGTTCTCACACAGGAAATTGAATTCAAGATAGAGCCATTTTGTATTCTCTCTTCTGAGCCATCTCACGAAGTCATCAGACGTACAAATGACATCAAGAGACTCATGGAAAAGTTGAAAGACCTTCAAGATGCCACCCACGATCAGCAAACTGTTAGCACTGTGTATATCTCTGGAACTCCTGGATGTGGGAAAACTCAACTTGCCCGTCAACTCGGCCAAGAGTTCTTTGCAACATCGCGTGACAGTCACGGTCTCACATTTGTAGCAACAATAAATGCAGAAAGTATTGAGACTATTGCTACATCTTACATCACCCTCGGTAAACATCTAGGAATCACTGAATATTCCCTGACGAAGCTTGAAACTTCAAGAAGAGAAAGACCACCGGAGACTATTCAGTATCTCAAGCTCTTAATCATGAAGAGGGTTAGGAAGTTTTCAAAGTGGCTAATAATAGCTGACAACGTAGACCAATTAAATGCTGTTCGCAGATTTCTTCCTCAAACTTCCAGCAAGGAATGGGGTCACGGTCAGGTGCTGTTCACCACTCAAAATGGAAGTTCGATTCCCTGTAATGCTAAGCATACATATCACGAGTCGTTCAGCCAAGGAATGGAGGAAGACGAAGCAGTTAACCTTTTGAAAAGTGTGTCGCAAATTGCTGATGAAGAGAAAGCAAAACAAGTTGTCAAAGTCCTTGAGTATCAACCCCTAGCACTAGCTGCTGCTGCGTATTATGTCCAAACTGTTGCAGCGACTGGATCTCCTCACTACAGTTGGGCAGACTACTTGGCCGTTTTGATGCAAGGTCAGCGAGAAGCAACCGAGGAACTTCTGGCGAAAGAGAGCCCAGCTTACCCGCACAAAATGACAACTGCCATAAGGTTGGCTCTGAAAAAGGCGATCGAAAATGATACGGTTCTTCGGCAGACTTTCATTTTCCTCTCACTTGGTGCCTCAGAATCTATTCCAATGGAATCTGCTGTAGAATTCGTCCACTATTACTGTGAAGAGTTACCAGAGGAGTTAGTCGAGTCAAAGATTTCTAGATCTTCCCTCTTTCTTTTCGCGAACGACGGTGAAGGTACCAAATTTATGCGGTTACATAGCACTGTACATAACATACTTAAAGAACGGTCGATTTTAAATCTGGAATCGACAGAAAGCTATGAAAACACCGCCACAGCTATAGGGATTTTTCACAATCTAATTCGATCAGAAAAGACGAGACTACGCGAAGAGGGGTACACCTACGCCCTTTTGAATAAAGTAAAAAATCACTGTAAGGCTCTACTTCACTACCTGAAATCCCAGCTCACTTCGTTGGAAGGTGCTTTTGAAGATGAATTGGTGTGCTTTATTGATCCCTGGGACATTATTCATTGGATGTGGTCTACTGCTAAAATTTGTAATACACTTCGTGATTTTTCGTCTGCAGATTGGATTTCGGAAATTGCCTGCAACTTGCTTGATAAATGGAACTGTCAAGATACCGGGCTACCAAACGTCATTTTGAAAGTGGGTGTACTTTCAGTACGTGGAACTGTTCACATGAACATTGGAAAATATCAGCAAGCTAAAGAACTGTTCGAACAGGCGTTGAGCATTCAGCAAACATTCGTCGAAGAATTCAACATGGCTGCAGGCGTCAGTCGTATGGAGTTGGGTGACGCTCCCAATAAACAATCCAAAGTTTGCAACTGGCTCTTGATGTCCATCGAATACGTCCCTTTGGCAGACCTGTATAACGATTTAGGAATGGTTTACTGTTTCACTGAACAGCACAATCAGGCCATAGAACAGCTAGAGAAGGCTTTGGAGATTCTAAAAATGACTTATGGCGAAGACCATCCCAGGGTGCCAGAAACTTACAACCGCTTAGGCTTTGTTTACAGCGAAATTGGAAAATACAAAGAAGCCAAAGATCTGCTCGAAAAGGCGGTGCACATTCTGGCCAAGAATTATGGCGAAGAACATGTTTACGTAGCAGACACGTGTTGCCTGTTAGCAAAAGCAAACACCCATAATGAAGAATATGAGACAGCCAAAGAACTATACGTTAGAGCGCTGAAGGTTCAGATGAAGATAAGGGGCGAAGATCTTAGTGTTGCTCATAGTTATTTCGGCCTTGGGGGTGTCTTCCATAGCATTGGCCAAAACGAGAAAGCCAAAGAACAGTACGAGAAAGGGTTGGTGATTCAGAGAACGATATTCAATGAAGAGAACGCCATTATAGCGAGAACTTATAGCTCACTGGGTGAAATATACCGAGGTATGGAGGAGCTCAGTCAAGCCACACACCACCACAACAAGGCACTCAACATTTTAAAGAATACTTTTGGTGAAGGGCATCGCGATGTGGCAGCATGCTATACCCGTTTAGGACACTGTTTCTTAAGCATTCAACAATACAATGAAGCTAAAGAAAACTATGAAAAAGCATTAATGATACCGAAAAAAATTTTCGGTGAGGAGCATCGTGATGTGGCAACGGGCTATTACAACTTAGCAAACATGTATGAAGAGATTGGGGAATACAAGGAAGCCATAGAACTATATAAAAATTCACTTGCTATCAGGAGAAAAATCGACGGTGACAAGCATTCCGAAGTGGAAAGAATTTTTATCAAATTGAAAACAATAAACAAACGACTAAAAAGAAATGTAAAAAAAACCAAAACGAAACAAAGCCAAGGACGTCCAGAAGAAGAGTGATACAGTGAAACACATATTACGTTGCAGACAATTGAAACAACGTGAGAGGGCTTACTCGAGTGTAGAAGATTTAAAAAAAGCCCAAAACTTTCTCAACTAAAAGAGCACTGTCAATGAAGACCATAACGACCTGGCTTTGACTTAAAAATGGGGAAGATTTTACCGGAATAACTAGTAATAACCATTGGAGTAACAAATGAAACTGGAAAGGACTCTACAGGCAAAGAAATCCAAGTATAGGAACTAATGAGTTAGCATCTCTCTTTCTCACTGTAAATTGTACGGGGAAAACGGTGGAGCAAAGTTATTTAAAACCTACTCCCATTCAAAGTCAAAAGTCTTCAACAAAGGATGAGGCCCACGCTATAGTTCAGAGGGGGTTCGAAGAATATCCGGGTTGGAGATACATAACGATTTTGGTGTATGTTTGGTATCATTCAACAATGTTAAAAAAGGTGACAACATAGAAATCAGTTGTAAAATCAATGGATTATGATAATTTTTCAAGAGCAATGTTTTAAGAGCACTGAAAATCAACAAACTACATTTTAATGGACAGCACTTTCAAGACAGGTGCGAATCTCGAAAGAGATAAAAAGCAAAGGGTCAGTAAAATGGTGAACGGAATGCTATCAGTTTTGCGTAACCTTGCCACGAAACATGAACTTAGAAGCGGAATGCACATGTACATAGCACAACAACCTTTCTAAGCAATTTGTCAATTACATTTATGTTGCCTGTAATAGTTTTCAAGTATGTTTAGTCGATGTTATAGCGACGACCCAAAACTCTGTATACTGTGGAGCACCTTTAAATACACTGTGGTACATTAAGTTGACAAACGTTATCCACTTTTGCTGTTTGGTTTGCAAAATTGCGTGGGAAGTGAAATTCGATGTGTTGCTCAAATTTACTAATTCATTTATGAAGTTTAAAGCCGGGAGAAAAATTCAAAAGCAATACGGCTGTGATCCCTGATTAACTAATTCTTAGAAGCCGAGTCAAATAAAATAAGGTAAAAACACGTGGGATAAAGTCGCTCAAGATCACCTTAG